AGGAGAAATAACTGACGGTGAGGGTCACAACTCTTTATATCCGATGCACCGGAAAAGTGACTTTGGCGGTTACGTGAAATCAAAAATTTCTTCTGGCCCGGTTTGGTTGGTTAAGGGCCGGTTTGGTTGGTTATGAAGTGTATCCAGCCGTGTGGCTCAAGAAAGAAAGAGTGACCTCTTTGTACAATTATGATGATTGTTTTCTCTGTAATTAGCTATTTGTTCTTCTTCTTTTGGTTCTCTTTATTGGTCACTTATATACTATGTTTTTTGTTTTTTCTGTCATCATATTATAAATCAGGCATATTATAATGTCACTGCTGCTCAAGAGTCGTCCAAATTTACGCCCTCAAGGTAATTATCACATTTTTATTGATTATGCTTATTAATATTTCTAATCTCTGGTTTTAGTCATCAAGGTAATAATCAACATATGTGTTTAGTCCTTGGCTTGTTGGAAAACGTTTAGCTGATTGTGTTACGTGTGAAAGCTTGGTCAAATTGAATCACTTGAAGTTTTTGATCTCTGGTTTTATAATGAAAATATGAGTTTGTCTTTTGGAGATCCTGAACCTTCATTCATAGGAGCAAAATACTATACTTTGTTGATGGCTTTGTTGCTGAATTTGGTGATTTGAACAGAACAGAGAACCCTGAGTACATTTCCCCGAGAGATTTTAACAGTCACGTCCCCGAGAGATTCTTGCTTCTTAATGTAAGCTACGTAGGACTCGGGCGGTGCCTCCGTATAGCTTTTTATAAGGCGTGCTGGCATCGGGAAGGAGCATGTACAGGGGCTGGTGTATTGGAGGCAACAGATGAGGCTATACATGATGGTGTTGATGTTTCGTCACTCTCTTTAGCATCCAAGGTTCCTTTATATCCAGAAACCGATGTGAGGGTGGGAGCATTTGCAAAAGGCTTTCCTGTTGTTGCTGCAGCTGTAACATTGGTTCTTTACCATTTGTAGCTGAACTTGTGACCAACCAAGCAATCTTTGCTGGAGACTCTGAGCTTCAACAGCTCCTCCATATTTTCAGGTAAGTCTTTTTTCCCCATTTCCCCACCTATATACTTAATAAACACAACACATCCCCTTGTAAAATTGTGTGAAAACTCGGGACACCCAATGAAGAAATGTGGCCAGGAGTGAGCACGCTCAAGAACTGGCACGAATACCCACAATGGAAACCGTTGAGCCTCTCCTCATCTATTCCAAACCTCGATGAGGATGGACTTGATCTTCTCTCGGTAAGTACAAGGTTTTTTGATTAGTTGACAAATGGGGACACACTCAACAGATGAACTAAATTTGCGTTATTAATCTTCCTGGAACAGAAAATGCTGCAGTACGAGCCAGCGAAACGAATCTCAGCAAAGATGGCTATGGAGCATCCTTACTTTGCTGATCTGCCAGAAAAGTCCTCTCTCTGAGGGATTTAAAATCTTCAGTTTGTAGTAGTAGTATATCTTTCCCAGTTTTACTTTTTGCTTATTATAAGCATATCTCTAGTGTGCTTCGCTTCCCTCTTTACGAACCTCTCTGATTGTGTTTTTCCCAAATTTGTAAGCTTTCAACGTTTTAAAGGAAAAATATATATTCTCTATTTGAGGGTTTGCAATAATACATGATCCAATCCTCTTGAAGTTGAAGAAGAAAATAATACATATAACAAGATCGAGTGTGGGCCAAAAAGAGAGTGAAATCGAAGCTAAAGGGTAAGTCCAAAGCAGGATCACTCGGAAAGAAGCTAATAATATGATAAACTTTTATATGCCATTGAAGAGATTTAGGCCTTACATGAATCAGAAAGGTATGGATTGCCTTCAATCATTGTCATATAATCTTCTCAAGCAGATTAATGTTGTTGAGATATATGAATCAATAACGTATGGATTCCCGATCAGGCCAAAACTTCGATTTTCTGGAAGTAATCAACACCATCAATGCCTTCAGTCAAAATCACCTTGTTTCATCTTTACCACATTAGTAGTCAACAACTCTTTTTGAATCAATTGGTAAGGTATCTTTTTTCCTTCGTTAGACAATAAACCACACAAGTAATGCAGAATAAATGAAGAACGAATAAACAATTATAGAGCGTCCAACAAACACACACAAAAACTTATACAAAAAGAAACTTTCAAAAATACAAAATCTTGTAGCATCAAAATCTTAGATAAATAAATATTGTTATAAGATCAAATCGAGACTAATAGTATCATCACAAAACAATATTATATTTTGAAAATATATAAATTATTATTCAGTTTTATTTTAATAAATATTATATTCTAAAAGTATAGTTTTCAAAAATTTGAAACAAATGATGGATGCTACAAATTATAAAAAAAGATTTGTTTCTCTATTGGCATGTTGTCTCTAGTTTCTCATTTGTTTGTGATTATTTCAGGTGATACTGGGTGAGGAGGTTACAGCTTCCAAGCTCACAATTTTTTATGATTCTGCAGCTACTTCTCCACCCACAGTCTGATGATTCTGCTCATCTATCCCAGGTAAGAAGAATACAAATATTGGACCTTCTGTGACTTAAAATAATCAGAATTACAATACTAATTTGATTTCTTCTCCATATTGAGACGGAGAAACTTCTAGCTTATCTCGTGGAGACTGAAATGAACAAGCGTTTGGTAAGCTGCATGTTTTTTCACTGATCACAATCCAAACCACCAATAATTTTTCATAACCTTGCATGTACACTTTAGTAAGCTGGTGAGAGAGAGAGGGGGAGATAACTGATGGTGAGGAGTTAGGGTCATTTTGGTCACAAATATTTATATCTGATGCACCAAAAAAGTGACTTTGGCGGTTACGAGCGTGAGTGGAATCAAAAATTTCTTATGGCTTTACAATTCTGGGCCGGTTTGGTTGGTTATTTATAGTTTTAGTCGGTTTGGTAGGGGTGAAGTGTATTCAGCCAGCTCAAGAAAGAGTGACCTCTTTGTACTTTGTTACAATGAGGTCAAATTGTTTTTCCTTTGTAATTAGCTATTTGTTCTTCTTCTTTTGGTTCCCTTTTTTGGTCACTTATATATATATTTGTTTTTTGTGATCATATTATGAATCAGGCATATTATAATGTCACTTCTGCTCAAGAGTCATCCAAATTTACGCACTTTAGTCATCAAAGGTAATTATCACATTTCTATTGATTATGCTTTATTTGACTAACCTCTTTGTTTCTCTTTTTTTTTTGCCTTTGGGTTTGTTCTTCTAAATGTGAGCCAAACTCGGAACGTAATCAAGAAGAAGTGGCCATGACTTTGCCCATGTAGTCCCTTCATAGACTTGTTTATGTGTATCCTTACCAACTACGAAAACTCTCGTCTTCTTCTTTATCTCACCAATGTCTAAAGTACAACACACTGCCACTTTCTTCTCCTCGTCCACCAAGAAACTTACCACTTCTACCCACTTAAAACTAACCACTAAAAACTTGCTCCACGACACCTCTTTGGTTTCGATTTCATCAATGTTATTGGTCACCCATATCTTCATCTTCACTGACAATCTATGACGATATTGATGTAACACAGAGAGCTTTTCGTCTCTAACAGCTGATAGAACCGCGGTAATTTCAGGACGATCATCCTGTATTTCATCATCACCATCATTCTGATACGGAGGAGGGAGACGCCTAAATCTCTCTGTTGTGAAATCAAAACTGAGCATGAATTGATCCAACTCGTTACCTATGTGTTTAGCAGTCCAGTAAGTATTGCCTTTCAACGACATGCCAGGAATGTAGAAAACAGAGCAAATATAGAACTGAATTTTCCAATTGATTCTAAACAAATACATCAAGTGCTTAAATATGCAAAGACTAACAACTCTAAAAGAACTTCTGAAACTTACTGCAACTTATTCAAACGTC